TGACAAAATTGCCTAAAGTGCGATTCCAAAAGGGCCAGGTGACACTCTGCCGATGCAGCGTCCATTGCTGTGTCTGCAACCGCTCGATTCAAAGTTCGTTGCATGTTTCGTTGCAGCAGAGTTCTTTTGCGCCTAAGTGCAGCTAGCTGTTCTTCTACAGATGGTTTGGTCATGTTTGCAAAGAGATGAAAGATCAGTCAAACTAAGGAAAATGCGTTTGAGAAGATTTAACAAGTTTTGAAGCCCTACAACAGTTTTAGAGTAACTGCGAAACTTTTTGATGTAAAACTGGGGTACAGCAAACATGCGTGTTCTGAGAAGCATTTACGACATAGGTTAAAAAAATCACACCTATTGTTACGTACGCCCTTCCCCATACCAAGATTAACCCCGGCAAAACAACTGCCATTAGTTGAGGGTAGGGGCCGTAATGACTAACCACACTGCGATTGATAAAAGCAAAACAGCAAAAACAATTCGACAACTCATGGGTGTCGCGTGGCCAGAACAACGACCACGATCGACCTGCTCGTAACCGTAATCCAGTAAGGTGGCAAAGTGCACCAGCCGGCCATTGACTCCTAAAATAGGGGAAATGGAGAAACAGTACCCCTAGGTGGGAACACCTAGTTAATTCATCCAATATGGGGGCTAGCGAAAGCTCTAGTCCGGTATAAAAGACCCCAGCCAAATGGAGAAAGAAAAAAAAATTGTTCTGATCTCTCCATGACGGTGGTCTAGAAGTGCAACTCCCGTCAACACAGACCACGACTAGAAGAAGGCTGGTGTCCAGAAGGATGTCTTGACGTTTCCCTAGGATCAACTTCACCCAGGAGAAAGTCCCGATAACCGGTCCTGCGATCGACCACAATCTGGAGGAAGTCAACCAGCAAAATCCCGAAGGACGAAAATAACTAGTGAACCAAGTGAATGGCCTAAGGACCCCAAGATGGGTAGCAAAACGTCTAAAGTGGCCGGCAGCACCGCCAACGTGATTAACACAGTAGAGATCGTTGACCACCAAGATGATATTCAGGATGTCAACAAGACCATGAAGCTCATCGTTGGACTACTCCTGGTTATAGTGCTCCTTAAGGTTGTAAAGATCTACAAGCGCTCTGTCCAGAGACGCCGCGACCAACATCATGCCCTGGAGAAAGTGGTGACCCACATTGGAGCATAAGCCGAGCCGATACAGTGAAGTGAAACCACCAAAAAGACAATAAAAGCAGCAAAAAGACAATAGAAACAATACAAATAATAATAAATAAATTGCACTCCAATATTATAAACAAAAAAGTGAATCGCCAAAACAATCAAAAACAATTTGCGAGTACATGCATTTCTGAATGCAAGTGTAAACAGAACCCCCAATTACATACGCTGAACAAGAAATTGGAGCTGCACCGACCAGCCCAGCCCGAGCATTGGAACTGACGTGTGCCTCAGTGGAACTCGCATACGATGCATACATACATACATATCTATACAGCGATAGTGTTATTTTTTTTGTGTAACATAATTTTTGTGTTTTGTTTTTGTAAACCGCCTTCAAGTCTTGCACGTATATATGTATATAAACCAATTATAAAATCTCCCAAAGCCCAGGATCCGGAGCGTCGAGATCTCATCGCCCAGGATTAAAAAGAGGGTAAGTTTGTCGGAACACGGTTCCTTTTCTTATACATACATATATATATATATCCGTGCACCATGATTACATCAGAAGCTTTAGCAAAAACAATAGACACTGATCCACAATTTAACGTAAGAATTTTATACTTGTTAACAAAAGCGACCCTACCAATAACAGTGAATGAATTGGAATACTTATATATTGAGACCTTCCGTCTAGATTTTTCTCCACTTGCCCACTGTAATAAGACCGAAAAGGCTATCATTATCTCTACCGTTCCAACGGTCATTGTTCTTTCCCGTCTGGATAAGAATTTGTTTTTGGGCAATGTTAATACTTTCCTAGTTAAGACAAAGAATTAATCTGTTAGGAATACATGTAATAATATATAATAGCCACATATGATAATTGTTCCATATATATAATCAATTAGATATACTTTTCTTTTTATACCTTTTTTATACATAATAATTAAATGTTAATTTTTCAGCGGCGAGTATCAGCCTTGTAATTGTATGACAATTGCAAGAGCCCTCTGAGCGACGTTTGCAGTCGTAAATAGTCAGCATTTTGCTGATGTGTGCACCTTCACAGGTGGTCAAATCGATACTCTCCGCTAATACAAAAATTGTCAATTAATTTAATCCCCATATGAATTAGCCAAAATTATGTTACTCAACACCGGCACACGCCGACCTAAATATGAACCAATAAATTTGTAATGTGAAAAAGTATTCGAAACCATGTTGTGCTAGAACTCTAACAAAGGGGGTGTGCTGACGCGAGGAGTGAAGTAGGTCAAGAACAATGACATAACTTTCGACGGACAACCTTGACAATAGGGGATCGTATTGCGCGGCCCGCGACGATCCATTGGCACACGAATGTGTGAAGGGGAGGGAATATGGCCAACACACAGCCCGATCGTATTGCGATCAAGCGACAGCTAAGCTTGTTGGGCAGTGTGGACTGATGACTGACGAACTTGATGACTATTATTATTTTTCCAGGCACTTTTAATATTTATTCTCGTTATGTTGGAGAGGAGAGAGGCTTACCAAGATCCCACGACCCAAATACGACGTAGCTTATGCCGGCAAATGGTGCCTGAACATCGGACGCCTCTCCCTCGGCCCAAGTCCTTGTCAGGACTCGGGCACTAATATGCCCACGTAACAGAATTGGCGCCCAACGCTAGGACATTTCATATTCCTTAAGGAATTTTACCAGGGTCCACAATCTCGATGCCTGCGGTATCGGAGTGGATGCACCTAGGGATGGCAAAGCTTTCATCTTTGTTTGCCATGAGTAACTTGACTGTTTTATAGAGCAGGGAACTTAAATAATTTTAAATGTGCACCTACTTATTTGTTTTTGTCTTTAAATTAATAACCGTAAAGTCCCCAACTTCTGTGACTGTCAGTGTTGAGTGGCCACTCAATCAGAACTTTGTCGCAGAATAGAGGCCTGACTTTGAAATGATTTGTAACCTTAGAAATTCCCTGTTTTGTTCATGGACAAATTTACCAGAGTTTCCTTAAAACAAGAACTATGAGTTATCCTTTTTATAATACTAACCTGTAACTAAGTGTCGACGACTACTTGTTAAAATTAACGTAAATACAATTTATAGGTGCTTTCTGGCCGACGCCACACGACGTACTACGCATTTGCCCGGTCGTTTGAATTGGTTCGAGTCCAGAAGGAGCAGGAGCGCAAGCATTACGGTAACGCATTTAGCAGTTGCGGTGCGGGTCTACTGTTCGTTTGTCGATCCAGGACAGAATGGGGGTGGGGGAACTGACAGGAAACGCAAAGCCGACGCCCTACAACGTACTAGGCATTGGTCCGGTCGTTTGCTTGGTTCGAGTCTTTGCTGTTTCCCTTGACATATTTGGGTGGTGGACGATTTTTAGTTTCTCTGGCCGACGCCCCACAACGTATTAGGCTAGTTGGTCAGGTCGTTTGCTTGGTTCGAGTCCAGAGAAATAGGAGACGGTTGTGGAGCCCGAGAATGATCGGTCAAACAACTTGTTTTCCGACGACTGGCGGGAGGGGGTTTTTGGACAGATTCCTTATCTAGACACAGCCATTCCGTTTGGAACATTTGGGATGTCTAGAAAAAGGGAAAGTAAGGGCATGTTAGCTTAGCGGAACCGCGTTGTGTAGAAGCGGCTAACACTCCTAGTTAGGGAAATTTATTTTATTTTTGTTTGGGGCTTAAATATCGGACGGTTCTTGACCGAAGAGAAACTTGAGAAGCAGAGGGAAGCACCCCCAGTTGATAAACATTCTTATTGTCGACTTATTCAGCGTTTACGTCGCTGACCGGGTATTTTGAAAAGAATCACGTAAAGCTTGTATACCAATCATATAAATGAAGGGGGCCAAGAAGAAGGTCTTATTTCAACCCAGCACCGGAAGAGTGACCCGGGCAACAACGCGCCGTGAAAACCACCAACCCCGCAGTGCAAGCGCGCCAAGGCTAGGAGATTCACCTGAAAGAGAGCCGTGGGAGCGCGCACAGAATCAGCCAGGACAGGTAGATACCCTGTCTGAAGAAAACAACCTGGACCAATATTCTGAAATGGAAGGAGCCGCCGGAGGGGAGAATCTACCCCTAGGACCACCGAAAGGAAGATCAAGTATGCTTCCCCAATTTCAGAGGCACGAGGAGGACAACTTAGAGGCTGCCGAGCGACGTGAACAAAGATTGATGGAGCTCTTGAGGCAAAGCAATGAAATGCAGCGTGGAATGAGTGCCCAGATAGAAGCGCTGAAAGCCCAGATAACAGAAATGCAGTCTCCGACAGACAGGAGACCCGAACAGAAGGGACTGCCTTCGCCGCCCCGTACTGTCCCGAATCCAACGGACAGTTTTTTGAGATACCAAGAGACCCCGCCTCTGGAACCGGTAACACAGGACATGCTCAATAGCCAGATGCACCGGCTAAGAACACCCAGGCGGATGGACACCCCATCACACAGGCAGTTCAGAACAAACGAGAGGGAGTCGAGTCACCAACTGCATCCAGAGATCGATCGGAACTCATCATTCCAAGGACCGCGACCAAAAGATGTCAGATTGGACAGATGGAACCTAAAGTTCGATGGAAGCGGACGCGGCATGACAGTTGAGAGTTTCCTATTCCGCGTGGACCGACTACAAGAATTGTATGACCTCAGCCGTCAACAAGTCTTTCGTGAATTCCATCTTCTGCTGGCAGGTGCAGCCACGAAATGGTATTGGCAGCTTATGGAAGACAAGGCAGAGGATTACGACTTTGACTACTACTCATTGACCCAAGAAATGAGACGGGCATTTTCCACTACCGGAAGTGACCTTATGAAAGTCAAAGAATTGATGGAACGTAAGCAAGGGCCACACGAAACCTTTAGCGATTATGTCTCGGATATGCATAACCTGCATTTCAAGCTCAAGCACAAAATCGCTGAAGATGAATTCGTGGAGCTCTTAAAGGATAACATGAACTCCCAGATGGGGGGATTACTACTAACATCCCCAATCACCTCATTAGCGGAGCTCAAACGAGAGGGTCTCAGAGTTGATCGCTGGCTGAGAAACACAGGAAGGAACATGCGCAGCCGAGCTGCAATTAACGAAATAGAGGAATTCCAGACACTGGAGGACTTGCCGGACGCGGTCACGGTGGAAGAATTCAACCGGCAGCGGAAAGATGCGCGAGGGCGTTACGAGGATGGACAAGGATGCCGAGGCCCATTACACGCGCTGGTGTGTTATAAGTGTGGCAAAGGAGCAGACTTCTACAGGAAGCATCCTTCGAAGGAAGAATCCTGCCCTATCAAATTCCACGATGCCACCTGCAGGTTCTGCGAGAAAGTCGGGACGGATGCAGATGCTAACCCAGCGGTTTTTGCGCGGAGTCCGTCAGGCAAGACCGGGACAGCCGGGCGGACCAGGACCAACCCTTTCCGGTAAACACACGGAAGCCCAACCAAATCTCCCCTCATAAGAGCCTAGAACAACGAGAGAGGGAGTACGAACATGCTCGTGAACGTATCTTCAATGACTCGGAAGATGCAGACAGCAAGACACGGACAACGCGAAAAATACTAAGATTATATGATGCCCGAGCAGACTACCGCCGGCTCAAGCAAAAGGTGGTGGACACAGTAGTGAGCGTGCAAAATGACAACCGTTTCTTTGCCAAAACGAAGGTCGATGGAGAAGAGATACTCGCATTACTGGACACAGGCGCCAGTGCGAACTGTATTGGCAGAGGAGCACACGCTTTCTTGGAAAACCGGACGCGGCCGATAAGGAAGCTAAGCGAAGAATGCGTACGCACAGCAAGCGGTGGTGAGACCCAAGTAACCGGAGCCATAACGTTACCCGTGGAATGGGAAGGAGAAACCAAGGACCTAGAGTTTTTGATAGTGCCAGGTCTGACACAACGATTTTATTTCGGAATTAATTTCTGGGATACGTTCGGCCTCACATTCCTCGGTAAAGGTAGACGCGAGGTTGCCGCCGTCGAAACAACTCCGGATTTCGACCTTATGACCGGCGACCTAGACATGAACAATACGCTCAAGCCCGAGACCGCCTATACCCCACATCAGCTTACCCCAGAACAACATTGTAAGCTGCAGCAAGTGATAGACACATACCCGTCTTGTCTAGAAAAAGGATTAGGAAAGACCAGTTTAGAGCAACATATAATTGAAGTGACCAACGAGGACTTACCAATCAAGCAGCGACATTACCCGATATCCCCAGCCAAACAGAAGCTGGTGTACGCCGAGCTAGATCGCATGTTAGGTCTAGGCGTGATCGAAGAAAGCAATAGTAGCTGGAGTTCACCGGTAACACTGGTGCAAAAAGGGCCGAAAAATCGCCTCTGCCTCGATGCGCGTAAAGTAAATTCCCGGACGATTAAAGATGCGTATCCACTACCACATATCGAGGGTCTGTTGAGTCGACTACAGGAAACGTATTACATTTCCGCAATTGATTTAAAAGACGCCTTTTGGCAAATACCTCTCGAAACCAAAAGCAGAGAGAAAACCGCGTTTACAGTGCCCGGCAGGCCACTGTATCAGTTTACAGTCATGCCGTTCGGCTTGTGCAATGCCGCGCAGCGAATGTGCCGACTAATGGATAAAGTTATACCAGCGGCGCTACGCGAGAATGTATTTGTGTATCTGGATGACTTACTGGTCTGTTCACCTACATTTGAAGCCCACATGGATATGTTGAGCCAGGTCAGTGCCTGCTTACAGCGGGCAGAGCTAACGATAAATGTAGACAAAAGCAAGTTTTGCTACAGCCAGGCAAGATATTTAGGATATGTAGTTGGGGGAGGATGCATCCGAACGGATGACACGAAAATACAATCGATACAGGAATTTCCCCAGCCTAGCTCCGCCAAACAAATGCGGAGGTTCCTGGGAATGACAGGCTGGTACAGGAGGTTCATCCAAAATTACGCCCAGACAGCGGCACCGCTTCACGACTGCTTGAAGAAAGACCGCATAAAGAAATTTGAATTGTCAGAAGAGGCAATCAAGGCGTTTGAACTTTTGAAAACCAGCATGGCAACAGCACCGGTACTCGTCACCCCGGATTTTAAGAAACCATTTACCATCCAATGTGATGCCTCGACCACTGGAGTGGGGGGAGTTTTGTTCCAAACAGATGACGAGGGCGGAGAACATCCAATCGCCTATATGTCAGCCAAATTGAACAAAGCACAGCGGAATTACAGCATAACCGAGTTGGAATGCTATGCCGCTATCCTCAGCATTACCAAATTCCGTGCCTACGTAGATGGGATGCCCTTCAAAGTGATCACTGACCACGCTAGTCTAAAATGGCTGATGATTCAGAAAGACTTATCAGGCAGACTTGCGCGATGGAGTCTGAAGCTACAAGCGTTCGACTTCACCATAGAACACAGGAAAGGATCACTAAATGTAGTCCCAGATGCTCTCTCACGAGTTCATATGGACGAGCTACAGAAGGCCGGTGCGGAAGAACTGGACATACACATCAACCTCGATTCGACAGCGTTCCAGACAGCGGATTATGTCAACCTAGTGCAGGCGGTGGACGAAAATTTAGGTAAAAGTCCAGACCTTCAAACATCAGAAGGCTATGTATATAAACGGATGGGATTCTGCCTAAACGACGCTGTGGATGAAGCCCGAGCATGGAAGCTCTGGGTTCCCGCCGAGCTGCGTCCTGATTTAGTCTGGAGAGCACATCATGCCATAACCGCAGGGCATGGGGGGTTGCACAAATCACTAGCCAAATTGAGACAGTTTTACTATTGGCCAGGCATGGCTGTAGACGTCCAAAAAGTAGTGAAGGAATGCGAGGTCTGTAAGATCACCAAGACCGCCAACAAAAATGACCGACCACCCATGGGAGAACAGCGGGTTACGGAGCGGGCTGGCCAAAGGTTGTTCATCGACTTTATGGGACCATACCCGAGGACCAAAGCTGGGAACTCGGTGATTTTCGTATGCCTAGACCATTTCTCCAAATTTGTCTGGCTACAGCCGATGAGACATGCAGTAGCTGCAGAAGTCATCAAATTCCTTGAGACCAAAATTTTCCACCAATTTGGAGTCCCCGAGTTTGTACACTCAGACAACGGCAAACAGTTTGTGTCTCAAATTTTTGGCGAGCTAATGACCCGCTACGGTATTCGACACGTAAAGACTGGACTTTACTCCCCGCAAGCGAACGCGGCTGAGAGGGTAAACCGATCGGTACTCCAAATTTTGCGAGCGACAATTGCCACCGATCAGCGAAATTGGGATACCCAACTAAGTCGAATAGAGTGTGCCCTTAGGAATGGCCTACACGAATCAATAGGCATGGAACCATATTACGCAATGTTCGGCACGCGGATGGTTACCCATGGAACAGCCTACCCGATCCTACGGAAACTAGGGGGAATACAAGCAGGAGATCCACAGATAAGTCTCCCAGACAAAATGGAACTTATCCGACAAAAAGTGACCCAAGGATTAAACCGAACTCATGCACGCGCAGAAAAGGCATATAACACCCGTAGCAAGCTCGTAGAGTTTTCCGTAGGACAAGTTGTCTATAGGAAAAACTACAAGCAGAGTAACAAAGCTGACGGATATAATGCCAAGCTGGGCCCGAATCGAATTCGCTGTGTTGTACTCCAGCGTAAGGGCAAAGCGCTATATGAGCTGGGCAATGCAGTAGGGAAAAGTGTCGGGGTATTCCATGCTAAAGACCTGTATGTCGCCTAAACCTCTGAACGTAATCCGACGACTCCAAAAGGCGACAAACTCAGAACTGCGAGATTGCACTACTTGATAGAAGCTCCCGATCACATGATGGGTAGAACAGTCATCAGAACTGCCCCAGTTCTGCTATAAAAGCCACAACCAGGGACCGACCAGTCACCAGACATGATGCAGTCCTCCAACAGCTATAACCAAGCCATCCGAGCTGCCCGCCGGCTTCGTCGGCTACAGGCTAGGTATGGGGACCAGGCATCATATCTGGCGCTCCTCGTCGAGTGGATGAACGGGCTTTGCCATGCCATCCACTTGAACGAGGATCATATCCAGCAATGCTGGATACGCCGATACCAGTCAGAAGATGAAGAACTGGCATCCGAAATCGAACAAGAGATCCGGCACCGGAGCCGAGATCAGGAAGAGGACCAGAATCAGTTGCTCCGAGTCCAGGAGCAACTACAAAGGAAACAAGCACACATCGCCCGGATACAACGGGAAACATGGAGAACGAGCCGGCGCATGAACCGCGCGGTCAGGAGAATTTACATTCGAAGCCCTCAACTTGGTATCCAGGCGAGGCGAGAAGTAGCAGCCATCCTGGAAGAGCCGCTAAACTTAGATTAAAACATTGTAATTAATATAAAATGTTAAGCATATAAAAATAAAAATAATACAAAAAAAAAAAACAATTCTTATACCTTTTAATATATTTTTCTTCGGGAAATGGGAAACCTTTTTATTCAACTTTTCACTTTTCAGCTGAGCAGCCCCTGGTCAAAAACCATGGTTATGGCACACTCAGCAATTTTATTCTCAACTTTTTAGCTGTTACTCACTTCTGATTTTTATATATATATTTATATATTATTTTTCATTAAAACTATATTATATATTTTATTATGAGCCATATTTTTATTTACAGGTATAAATCTGTATGTATGTATGTTTCCGTGCGAGGCCGGAAAGCTTTTCTTTTTCAGCATATATAATAATAAAATAACCAAGTACAATATTAAAACAATAAAGTAATAAGCCCGACTAGCTCATCTGAGACTGGGTTGATGTAGTGGGTCGAAGCCACACGTAAATGGGCGCCTAAGAAAAGAAAAAAGGAGAAGAAGGAGATCTAAAGAGATGGCCGTACGAGGATTTCTTTTGCGAAGTCATTCCATGCGAAGCCGCATCGATCACTTCGAGCCTGTTACGTACGCCCTTCCCCATACCAAGATTAACCCCGGCAAAACAACTGCCATTAGTTGAGGGTAGCGGCCGTAATGACTAACCACACTGCGATTGATAAAAGCAAAACAGCAAAAACAATTCGACAACTCATGGGTGTCGCGTGGCCAGAACAACGACCACGATCGACCTGCTCGTAACCGTAATCCAGTAAGGTGGCAAAGTGCACCAGCCGGCCATTGACTCCTAAAATAGGGGAAATGGAGAAACAGTACCCCTAGGTGGGAACACCTAGTTAATTCATCCAATATGGGGGCTAGCGAAAGCTCTAGTCCGGTATAAAAGACCCCAGCCAAATGGAGAAAGAAAAAAAAATTGTTCTGATCTCTCCATGACGGTGGTCTAGAAGTGCAACTCCCGTCAACACAGACCACGACTAGAAGAAGGCTGGTGTCCAGAAGGATGTCTTGACGTTTCCCTAGGATCAACTTCACCCAGGAGAAAGTCCCGATAACCGGTCCTGCGATCGACCACAATCTGGAGGAAGTCAACCAGCAAAATCCCGAAGGACGAAAATAACTAGTGAACCAAGTGAATGGCCTAAGGACCCCAAGATGGGTAGCAAAACGTCTAAAGTGGCCGGCAGCACCGCCAACGTGATTAACACAGTAGAGATCGTTGACCACCAAGATGATATTCAGGATGTCAACAAGACCATGAAGCTCATCGTTGGACTACTCCTGGTTATAGTGCTCCTTAAGGTTGTAAAGATCTACAAGCGCTCTGTCCAGAGACGCCGCGACCAACATCATGCCCTGGAGAAAGTGGTGACCCACATTGGAGCATAAGCCGAGCCGATACAGTGAAGTGAAACCACCAAAAAGACAATAAAAGCAGCAAAAAGACAATAGAAACAATACAAATAATAATAAATAAATTGCACTCCAATATTATAAACAAAAAAGTGAATCGCCAAAACAATCAAAAACAATTTGCGAGTACATGCATTTCTGAATGCAAGTGTAAACAGAACCCCCAATTACATACGCTGAACAAGAAATTGGAGCTGCACCGACCAGCCCAGCCCGAGCATTGGAACTGACGTGTGCCTCAGTGGAACTCGCATACGATGCATACATACATACATATCTATACAGCGATAGTGTTATTTTTTTTGTGTAACATAATTTTTGTGTTTTGTTTTTGTAAACCGCCTTCAAGTCTTGCACGTATATATGTATATAAACCAATTATAAAATCTCCCAAAGCCCAGGATCCGGAGCGTCGAGATCTCATCGCCCAGGATTAAAAAGAGGGTAAGTTTGTCGGAACACGGTTCCTTTTCTTATACATACATATATATATATATCCGTGCACCATGATTACATCAGAAGCTTTAGCAAAAACAATAGACACTGATCCACAATTTAACGTAAGAATTTTATACTTGTTAACAAAAGCGACCCTACCAATAACAGTGAATGAATTGGAATACTTATATATTGAGACCTTCCGTCTAGATTTTTCTCCACTTGCCCACTGTAATAAGACCGAAAAGGCTATCATTATCTCTACCGTTCCAACGGTCATTGTTCTTTCCCGTCTGGATAAGAATTTGTTTTTGGGCAATGTTAATACTTTCCTAGTTAAGACAAAGAATTAATCTGTTAGGAATACATGTAATAATATATAATAGCCACATATGATAATTGTTCCATATATATAATCAATTAGATATACTTTTCTTTTTATACCTTTTTTATACATAATAATTAAATGTTAATTTTTCAGCGGCGAGTATCAGCCTTGTAATTGTATGACAATTGCAAGAGCCCTCTGAGCGACGTTTGCAGTCGTAAATAGTCAGCATTTTGCTGATGTGTGCACCTTCACAGGTGGTCAAATCGATACTCTCCGCTAATACAAAAATTGTCAATTAATTTAATCCCCATATGAATTAGCCAAAATTATGTTACTCAACACCGGCACACGCCGACCTAAATATGAACCAATAAATTTGTAATGTGAAAAAGTATTCGAAACCATGTTGTGCTAGAACTCTAACAAAGGGGGTGTGCTGACGCGAGGAGTGAAGTAGGTCAAGAACAATGACATAACTTTCGACGGACAACCTTGACAATAGGGGATCGTATTGCGCGGCCCGCGACGATCCATTGGCACACGAATGTGTGAAGGGGAGGGAATATGGCCAACACACAGCCCGATCGTATTGCGATCAAGCGACAGCTAAGCTTGTTGGGCAGTGTGGACTGATGACTGACGAACTTGATGACTATTATTATTTTTCCAGGCACTTTTAATATTTATTCTCGTTATGTTGGAGAGGAGAGAGGCTTACCAAGATCCCACGACCCAAATACGACGTAGCTTATGCCGGCAAATGGTGCCTGAACATCGGACGCCTCTCCCTCGGCCCAAGTCCTTGTCAGGACTCGGGCACTAATATGCCCACGTAACACTATTTATCTAGATATAACCAGACTTTTCTTTTTTATTTGTAATATATAACAAATAACAAGTAAACTGGGTTAAATCTGCCGATTTAAAAGCTTACGTGCTCCAGTAAGTGTCTCAGGTGTACTGGTGACGTAATGGTGTGATGCCGTAAAAGTCCAAGTTGAGATAACTTTCCAACTAATCCGCTTGAATTGTAGCTGCTACTGAGTCCCTTGTGATCCCTCGCAGCCGAATTGTTGAGGTTCAGGACAGGTGTCCTGTCACGGTCGCCAATCTTTAATTTGCTGCCTAATGGGAGTCAGCCAAAGGTAAAATTTGCCCTCGGGCAAATGGCAGTGGTTGTTGTTATTGCACCGCCTCTGCCCCTGTGCAGATGGCGGAGCTTGATCCAAAAATTAAAACGACGGAGTCAATGATATTTACTTCACGAAGTTCTGTGTGAGACTACATTCTGCTTTTGGTTATACATTTGGTTGGGCTATGCATAACAAGAAAGCTTATGATTTACCGTTTTCATTGTGGATCATAATGCTTTACAATAGAGGGTGATATTTTAGCATACAATTTCAACTAAAATAAAGAGGCAAGCGTGAACATACTCCGCCCGTTCGAAGGACGGTCGTTCTTTCAAGATAGGCAGGGGCGCAACTTTACGAATTGGACGACGAAGAACTCCTTTTGCCGTCTTAATATCGACGACTCGGACTCTTCCGTCCGCTCCAGAGCAAGTATTGGTAATGCGTCCCAAGGGCCATTGCTGAGGTGAACCGTTGTCTTCATA